AAGGCGTGCATAGGTGGTTTGCCGGTCCGACACGCATGTCTAGGCAGGAGGGCGATGGGTCGCTTACCTACCTCGTCGTAAGTGTCGCACCGAGTTCCCTCCTACCACGCTCAACAAAGGCGTGCATAGATGGTCCGCCGGCCCGACATGAACATCGAGGCAAGAGAGGAAATTTTGTTTTATTTTTATTATTATTATAATTATTTATTAATAATAATAATACTAATAATAAAAAAAAAAATCCATCTCTTCTCTCACTCTCTGGTTCGGCAGGATCACGGGATTTGGCCGAAGGAGCGCGTGAAGGAGAGAAAGTCACCTTCACACATAATGAGCTCCTGTGTTTGCTTCCGATCAAAATGTCGGACCTCCAATCCAATGAGAAGGGAAGTCGAAGGAGGAGCGAAGTCGGACAGCACGATAGAGCCGGAGCAACGGGAAATGGAGAGTTACTTTCATGGCAAGTGAGCTCCCGTTCTTCCATCCGATCAAAATATCGTGGCTTCCAATCCTTCAGCAAGGGAAAGTCGTTGAAGGGAGCGACGTCGAACAGCCAGAAAGGGTCGGAGAGGCGCACTAAAGGTAGAATGTTATCTACACAACAGCGAGCTCCCGTTCTTGTTACGATCAAAATGCCGTAACTTCCGTCCCGACAGGAAAGGGCGGCGTCGGAGGGGCAACGCCGGAGGAGGAACGAAGTCGAACCGCACGGAGGAGCCGAGAAGCGACGAGCTTCCATTGTTTCGTCCGATTAAACTGTCGTAACTTCCGATCCAACAGGAAATGTCATCGAAGGAGCGGAATCGAGTAGCGACGAGAGAGGGAGAGAGCGAGCGGGCTCGGGAGAGGAGAAAGAGTCAGCAGAGGCTGAAGGCCTCGTTCCCTTGGTCTCTTACGCGAGGACGTGCAAACGATGTACGAAGAAGCGACGTCGGCGTGCGAGTGACGTGCAAGTCGTGCCGAGATCGTGGTTTCGGCAGAGCAGGTAATTGATTTTTTTTTTTTTTTATTCTGACATTACGGGTTAACACCTTTCATCAAATTTTCACCTTCTCCTCTCAAATTCAGCACCTCTTGGATCATAACAAATCACTCACCTTTCAAATTCAACCTCCCAATGGTCATAATTACCTATTTCCTTTTTCAATCTCGCCCCTCTCCTCTCCAAATCTGTACATCTTTATTCTTGCCCTACCTCCTCACGCCTCTCCTCATACCCTTTACCCGGCTCCTCCCTGGGAATAGGCTCTAGGAGAGGTATTCTCTATTCTTCCTTTCGAATCACCACCTCCTGATCTCCCTTTTGCCTGATTTGCCTAGGGTTTTTCCCATCCCCTGGCTGTCGGCGCCTTCCTTCCCCTCTGATAGTGATATTTTGGGTTGGCCCTCGAGCACTTACTTCAACATCTCCTCTAAGAGGGAATATTTTGAACTGAACTTATCATGGATGGCTAAAACATCTTTTAACTCTAAAACTTGAATTTGGAGATCAGAAATTTCATATTTTATTTGTCCAATCTACACTTCAAGGTGTTCCTCCAACACATCTATTTTCTTGACCGCCACAGATGCCCGAATTTTTGTAGAAATAAAAAACTGAACTTAGACCTTCAAAAATAGCAATTTTCTTCTTTGAAATCCCAAGAACACCTGCTGAAATTCACCAAAACAGCCCACAAAAGGTCCCAAAAACATCTTTGATACCAATTTGATAGGAAAAACTAGTAGACCTCGACTATTTTCTATCAATCTTCGAAAAACAACGAGAATTCTCCACATAAATCCGCACAAAATCATGAAAACAGTAGATAATTTGTATTATTTGATGAAAGGGAAATGGAAAAAAGCAAGATACAATTGATCCTCTATTCGAGAGGGGGATCAATCTCTCCCAAATCTCTAGACACCGCTAGAGCTCAAAGAAAACCTAAGGGATCTCAAATTTCAGCCAAATTCAAGATGCCCTAACCCTAAGGAAAACAAACTATTTAATACATACAAATCAAAAGGAAATCTCTAAACAATCCCTACATTCAAATTTCCCTCCCAAATACCTCAAAATTCTTTCGCAAAAAGCTCCTTGAAACCTGGCAGCTTGATCGGCGTACGCAGGAGGCGGAGAAGTTCCTCAGTCGCGTCTGGGCCAATCCCATGTGGAGCGGCTTGGACCAGTCTAACACTCTCCCAAGGAATGACAGACCCCACTCGCCCGGGCCTACAAAAAAAGTTCGTCCCTCCTAGGGGCAATAGGAACCCACTAACCAAGTAATTTGCCACTCACCTAATGAGATGGATGCAACCCACAAAACAACTCACCCCTACTCAGAGTGGGAACTTTCGCCCTCCTACATCTAAGACCAACTATAGGAAAGTGCCTACTCATGAGCCCTCAACTCGCACTATTGGTACCGACCAGTCACTGAGTTAGCATTATTCTCAACCCCTAATTATTCGCCTTATCTTCTAGCCAATCTAAGGCTCAACAAAGGTCACCAGCAGCCCCCAAACATTGCTCAAGTCATCAAACACCCCTCGCCAGAACTCACCGACAAATTTTCACACTCCTAATCAACATTACCAAACTCGCCTACACTTCAAAGTTCGTTTAGTACAACAAAACTACTAAGCATGCCAAGAGACACATTAACAGAACTCTGCAGCTCTATGCTTATGAAAATCGGACCAGGCCTGTTTAGTTCAATGAACGAGCAGTTTCGCAAATAGCAGAGCCAAACAGACAAGCATATCGGGCCACCTGCGTGCGTAAATTCCTTTCCGTATTTCTTTTCTTTTCTATTCAAATTGAGAGAAGGAAATATATATAATTCCTCTACTAGAAGGAAATATTACTATTATTGGAAGAATCCAATTATTATAAGCCTTGATTTAACAGTAAAAGAATAAAAGATTTATTGAAAGAAAAGAAGGAAAGATTCTTCGAGGTAATTAATTTAGGAATATTAAATTTTAATTATATTAGAATTAGTTAGAATTATAAAAAATATTTCACAAATCAGAAATTAAATAATATTGCATAGCTTAAGTTAATATATGCATTTGAAGTTGTTATTCTAATGTTATTTTGACGACATTCAAATTTATAAAGCAATTTAGCAGTAAATAATGCAAATGAATGTTATGTGAATAATTAAAGATTTTCATAATTGAGCTGAGATAAGTATTGGAGGTTTAATTTAACGAATTAAGGATTGGAAGAATCTGAAAGAAATCAAGTGGGTAATTATTGATATTTACACTATTCTATTCTATTTGAATTTATTTCAACTGCAGTATTATGTTTAATTATTTGATTATTATACTTGAAAGTTATCATGTTCATGTTGATGAAAGCTAGGCATTTAAGCTATAAGGTAATAAGCATACATGGGTATATGTGAATGATGCATATGTTAATTTAAAATAAATGAATCAATAAGGAAATTATACCATACAAATAGAAAGCATTAAAAGAAGGAAAAGATATATGAACATAAATTACAGAAGTTTACCCCCATATAGTACTGCCTGGAGAGCAAGTTAAATGAAAATGAAAATCGTTATACCTTTATTGATATTTTTTCACGATGCTCCTTACTAATTGAAAGGGAAAAGGAATAAATGTCGAATAGAAAAGAATGAATGAAATAGAAAAGACATGAAATATATATGAATGTTAAACGTGTATACTAAATGTTATAAGGATATATACATATAAAGTGTTATATATGTTTTAATTGTATAAGAAATGAACAAAAAAAAAAAAAGAATATACATTTATATTTCATATATGTTTAAATGTTATAATTACCATGTAAACTTAACCTACAAAACTAATTTTTTCAGGCATCTCCTAATAAATAAATGGCTAAAGAAGTGGAATATGTTTACAGAGGATGGCGCTCAAATGAAAACATATAAGATATGGTAAATGTAAAAGTTCAAATGTGAAAATTATATTAGTGGCTTTTGAAAATTGTTTTAGTGGCTTTTCAGTATTATATTAAATGTAGATAACAAATTGTTTCCGAATTTGTAAGAAATGTTATAACCATCCGACAGTTAGTTCCCTCCTTGTTAGTTCGAGAATTCGTGCCTGATCGTGACACTACTTTTCCTCAGCCAATCAAGAGATGACACGTGTCTAAGGTAGTCCATATAGTATTGTACTTTTTTACCTTTTGTGAAGTAGTCTTTTCTATAGCTCTCAAAACCCTAACATAATAAGTGATGAGGTGGGGGGGAGGGGGGGTTCATCTTTTGAATCATATGATACTTGGGTATTTCTCTATTTGATTGAGATTCTAAGCATTCTTTATATCTTTTCTTTAGCATTTTCTATCCTTTCCATCCTCAGACTTGTTCCTGGTCGCACGCTCATAGGTCGGCCTGCTAGTAAGGTCGAGTATCATCCATGGACAAATTTGAATTCAATAATGTCGATTTGTTTTTTGTGAAGCATAATATTTAAAAGGATGAGGATTAATTTCGAGAGCTAATGTTAGGTGATTAAAATAGAAATGTGTCTTTGCATTATTATATGACAAGAAGATATCATGAAGAGTTAAGGAAATTTTTTATAAAATTACAATATGCTCACAATATTGTATGAAGCTGCGAACTAGCTGGTGAAGAAGTCATTGAAATTGCTAAGTTGATCATGGTGGAAATAAAAATGTTAAGATTTTGTATAGATAAAGTAAGAAGGATGATCTAAGGAATATTATATTAGCATAACAAATGGAATGACATCTATTGATGACAATGGAGTAGAAAATAGACTTATGTTATTTAGATATGTAAAATGAAGTATATAAAATACACTAATTAGATAAGAAAATAAAATAAGTATTAGAAAAAAAAAGACAATCTCAAGATAACTATAATAGAAATTGTTCAAAATTATTCGTAACAAACACTCTAGAAGAACATTAGAAAATTGAACCTAATAGTTGGGATAAAACTATTGTGATGATGAGTGCTTATCAGGATAGTTACATCACCTGAAAATTATAGCTGAATAATAATTTGCTTGACAATAAAATCATCCAGAATATGGTATACCTGAAAGTAGATGAATGGTGGTGCAAGTCAGGAGACATAATTAATAAAAATACTCCAAATTTACAAATAATACAATTACTTTAGAAGGGATACTTGGGATTCCTGAATCCCTCGACCGACATATAAACGAGGCTGTAAAAAACAAATAAAAAATTTATTAACACATCATCATCATTACTATTATTCCAAATAATTGGTTTCAACATTATGAGAAATAAGGTAGAAACTTATCAAAATAAAATACTTAATTAAATCCATTTGAAAATATTTCTACTAAAAAAGAAATAGTATTCGTATTAAATGGTGATACAACATTAAATAGACACATTACTCAACTTTAAATATGAAACAATCTGAGTAGATTAATAATGATGTTTTGAAGAGAAAGGAGTGTGTAATTGTGTAAATGTCAAGGTCTAATTATTAGAAAAAGGTTAAAAAAATTAGATGATGCAGTTTCGACCCATTAAACACAATGTAAATCAAATATAGCACATGCTGAGTTCAACAATGCTATGGCTTCAATACTCCTTGGGTAAATTCCATTCTAGGCTTATTTGTTAGTTAACTGTCACATTACTTGCATGCACAATATTATCAGTATATGAAACAATTGAGTTTATTTTATGCTGCATATTCTAGGCAAAACATTAACAATAAAGAGCTGCATTGGAGTATATCAAATCATTATCCCACTACATGTGCTCGTCTACATGAATCTTTTTTTCTATTTTGTTCTATTAAAAGTCAAGTTCTCATTTAAATCTAATAAAAATGCCATTTTTAATATTTTCTAAGTTTTTTTAGGTCTACCTCTATCTTTCTTAACATAGATTGAATCTAATGCATTAGAGTATACCAATGTGTACACTTAAGAAATGAAGTAAACAAAAGGTTCTCAAATGCATAAAGCGGACCATGCTTGTCACACAATGCAAAAAGCACATCAAGATTACACTTAAGTTATTCAACTTTTTACCTATGGTAGAGTTAACAATATTTATTTCCTTATTTGTGATGAGACTTTGCTAGAAGATAGGCCTGGAGAAACTGGTATATTGTATTTGTTGTATGAGAACCACCTCACCAAAGCCTTCCACACACAGCAGCCACCCTACCCAACCCGCCTCAAATCACTTGTGCAACCACTCACACGTCCACCAACTCAGCTACTTCAAACTCTGCTCCAAGCCGAGCAGTCAATAAACTCCCATTTACCTACAATCCGTGCAACCTCCCTAAACCGCCACTACCAGTTCGACTCCTCTTCCCTCTCCCTTAGCCCTCACACAGCAGCCAGCAACAAAGGCTGAGTTCCTGCACCTCCATTAGCCAAACTACTCCTGCTACACTTTTTTCTCGACAACAGCCACCTCAACCTACTCCATCCAACTTCTCGAACTGAGAAACTCCCTCTCTACCTCATTCTCCCTCTAAAACACAAAGAGATCTATCTATCTCCCCCAAATATCCTCTCTACTCTCTATCTCTCTATTATTTTTATTAATGGTATTATTATATAAAATAAGCAAAATCAAAAACTAAAAAAATAAAAGAGAGATTTTCAAAAAAAAAAAAGGAAAGAGAGAGTAGTATGCTCTTCCCTCATTGACTCGTCGTCTTGCCTTGTATGCTAAATATAAGGCTCGAAAACTCAATAAAACTCCAAATTTTGTTAGAGACACGAATGTCGTGACGAGCAAACCCCCGTACGCACTTTTCGTAGCATGACAGCAGGAAACTTGCATGCCACACCTATGACGAAGCAAGTAAGCCCTGTGTGTGTTTTTCTTGGTAGAGGGTAAAAATAAGTACTTGTCCATATTGTTCCAATAAGATGGGAAAATTCATAGTTTACTATTACTCGTGAAGGTGATAAAGACCCATACACGCCTTTTTTGACATAGTGGAATTGAAAACCTCGGTCTGATATCACCGGAAACGGATCATACATGTTTTTCTTAACATAGTCGATAGGCCTTTACTCTCCAAAATTTTGCCGAAATTTCAACTAAAAGATTATTAAACTTGGAGCAATTTAAATAATAAGATTAAATAAATTGCAACAAAACAAAATTTTAAATGAACGTCAAGGACAAAAATGGGAATACGAAAAGCAACATTTGTTATTTGAAACGAACATAATAAAACACAAGCAAGAGACTTTTCTCGAAACAAAAGCTCACCTACAGGCAAAAATAGGGGACTTCTAATGCACATAGCAGCTTGCCTAATGAAGTTAATAGGGAATTGTAACAAACAGAGCAACTCACCTATGAGCAAAAAGAGTAGACTTGTAATGAATACAATAGAGGAGTCAAAAAATGACCCCACCAGGCAACCCAACTCCAAAAACGTGTCTTTGAATTGACCCGTTTAATAAACAGGTCGTATTTAGGTTGAGTTTTTTGACCCATTTATTAAATGGTGTTCATATTGACCCGCAAACCTATTTTTTACACTAAGTGAACCATTAAATGGTTTTTTCATTAATTTTTTAACTTGTAGGTTTAATCTTCTTATTTTTATGAAATATGTTAAATTTTATAGTTAATAAATTAAAAAAAAATAACCAAAATAGGTCAATGGGTTGGGTTCGGGGCGATGTTTTTTGACCTATTTATTAAACAAGTCAAGTTCCGGTTGACTCGATTATAATCGGGTCAATTTTGGGGTGGGCCTGAACCCGACTCGTCGACCCATTTTGATACACCGACAATACAATATTTTTAACTTTATTTGAACAAATATGGTATGTGAACTATTTTGAATGAGAATTTGGATGAGACTAAATGAGCCAAATGACATCTCACCTATCTACAAAAGAAAACCTAACTCACCTACAAACACAACCAAATCCATAACACTCGTGCAAGCGGACAAAAAGCGTACAATAGACCCTTAAATTAAATGTTGCTCGCACTCTAATGACAATCACTTACGCAAATAATTAAATTTAAATAATTTAAAATCCATCATGCATTAAAATGTAAATTTCTAAATTCAAGTGCACCACCTTGAAAAATATGTAGCCGTCTTGAGAAATATGCAATAACGTCGGGAAGCAAACGATAGCCCCAAGAAGTATGTTACAACCGCAAGAAATGTGTCATTGCCTCAAGAAGGTGCAGCCAGCAAAGCAAAGCACGACATCTCAAGAAATATGTCAAGTCATTGAAAAGCGTGACAATTTAAAGTCCTTTTTAAAACTAATCACCTGCAAGTGCTTAGACCGTCGCGTTGAACTTTTAAGTTTAAGGTCCTTGAACATTGTGCGAATTAAATTTCAAGTTCGTTTGATCTTCTTCCTTAAAAGGATTGGAGTTGACAAGACTTAACTAAGAAATAAACATACGATCACCAATTCTACTAAGAGATTTTATTTTAAAGCTCACATTTAAACCTTCAAATCTAATTTAAATGAAATTCATTCTCGAATTCAACATCCGTGCAATAATTCATAAACTTTATACAGAATCCAATCTTATATTGGCGAGCAAACATAGTCAACAAAATTCAACATAAATATAAAATATTTAAATCTTTGATGAAGGACGCATTGACAAAAAATATCAACCAAAGGGGATTCTATCATCAAAATGCAACGTAAACTCGGATCGAACACAATCCTTCCAATAAGTGGATAGAGTTAATAAGATTCAAATAAAAAAATATATGAAATATTTACATGTAATACATAAAATGTTCAAAATAAATGTAAGTATTTTTTTTTTCTCTTTTCTAAATATTCATTTAGTTTCATTAAATTCTACTTGTAATTCAGAGCATTCAGACATATAGAAGTATGTGTTAATTACTAACCTAATATATATGCATAATTATTAAACTCCTAACAGCTACTAAGTTCAATAAGTATTAAATTATAATTAGAAAAAGGTAATTAACAATCAACAGTCAATTCATTAGTTTATTCATATTACTGTAGCTTTCAGCTAACTAAACATGTATTGGCTGCTTTTATCCAACGGCTGGATGTAGGAAAGGATTAGTGGATGTTTAGTGGAGGATTAATAAGAATATAATATAAAATAAAGGGAACACTAGCCTATTCCTTCCTCCAAAAATCTTCATTTCTCTCTGTTTTTCTTAAGTTTGGCAGCAAGGCAGTGGGAGAGAAATTGGGAAGAGGTGCTTTCGGTTGGAGCATGCTAAGGATTCAGGAAATAGCTGCAGGAGTTGCTATTCAGTGAGAAAACAGTAGAGAAAGAAGCTTTTTTGCTGAAAACAGTAAGGATATGAGGTAAACCTGAAGAAATTAATGTTTTATTGAAGTATATTAAGTGAGGGTATTCCTGTTGCTAAAGTTAGGAAGGGATGTTGTTGCCTTTTGCTGAAACAGTAGAGAAATGATGCCTTTTTGCTGAAAACAGTAGAGAAATGAGGTAAGAACTGCTGTGTGGAATAAATTTCAGAAAACACAGAGGTAAGAACACACTTTAACAAATAATTATGTGCTGTTGTAGTTATTTGTTGAATGTTGTATGAATGCTGAAATCAATTTGTTGAATTCAGGAGGGGAAAATACAAAAGAAAGGAAAGAAAGTAGTGAAAGAAGTTTAGGAGAGTAAGGGAAATTTTGAGTTGAATGAAGAAGAGTTTAAATGAGGTGGTATACAAAAGGAAAAGAGGTCAGGATACTTCAGGTGAACCAAATTACCCGCCTATTTTGAAAAACGAGGTGAGAAACCCAAACTATGTTATATGAAGTAATAAAGGCTTTATTTCATTGCAATTCATATCTACTATGTTTATGACAGCATGTATTTCAGTTTTCTTTAGTTTATTCTTGTATGAACAAGTACGAATATGTATGAAATTGTTTATTCATAGAATAATGTCTATCAAAGCATATGTCATGAGAACTAAAAATGATTGCTATTAAAAAAGTGAAATAAGTCATATATGGGGGATAAGCCCGCACAAGTAAAGCTGAAAGACCTGACGAGCTCCTACACTCTCAATTCTAGAAGTTGAAAATTTGGACCCAACCTTCAATGAGTAAGCAGCTTCAACTCTAAAAGTTCGGAAGCTGGACCCAATCTTGAATTGGAAAGCTTATAGAGTGCAAAAACTTATAGCCATCATAAAGTGTTGAACAGTTTTGGCAAGAT